TCGGCTAGTTTTTTGTATTTTTTTTAGTAGAGACGGGGTTTCACCGTGTTAGCCAGGATGGTCTCGATCTCCTGACCTCGTGATCCACTCGTCTTGGCCTCCCAAAGTGCTGGGATTACAGGCTTGAGCCACCACGCCTGGCCCAAGGTATTCATTTCAAAATTTGAGAATGTAAAAATGTACCTGGAAATTTACAAGACACCATTGCGAATTTAATCTTTGGCAATTTTTAATTCTGAAACTCTGGCATATCTAAGTTTGACTTTATAAGAGGGAAAAACTTTTGTGATTTCATATATATACATGCATATATATATATATATATAGGAGAATCATAAAGGTGAAAAGTTGCTTAGCTTCTTCAAATTATTAATAGAAATACATGAATTATTCAGAAACTATGTACTGTATCTCCATGTTATAATACCTTACATTGAATTATACTTTCAGAAATAGACTCATTCTTTATCTAGCGAGCTCAGACCAGACCCACTTTCAAACATTTATAACCTTTCAGTTGCTTCATTGAGACCTACCTATTTGTATCTAGCAAAATCCTTGGGGAAGGTCAATGTAGCCTCTCGCACAAACTTCAGAATTTATTAAAGCAGATAATAAAGTTTAAATGTCTGAACTGCCACAACATATTTAGAATTTAATGGTAAATCATTAAACCAACTCGCTTTATTTATATGACTCTATGAAAAGATCAACAACAGTCACAGGACAGGTATTTATAGAAGCAGAATTTTTGTTTATTTGTTTGATTTTGGACTGTTTTACAGCTTACTACTTGCCATTTCAAAAGCTACTTAACTCTTCATATAGTAAGATCAGAATGCATTCAATTAATTTTATAAAATCGATTACACTTTAATTGAATACTACCAGGTGTAGTATTCTGGAATATTATATTCATTGAATATATCTGAATTTCACCTCTTCCAAACTGACACCAAATATTTTCTGGACACTTTTCATTTAATACTTCACTTTTGCTTGTGTAAATTTATGATTATAAATTCTTAAGATTCCTGGGGCACAGATTTTATATTTTGCGTCTTAATTGGCTACAATTAGTCAATGAATAGAGATTTCCATTTAATATTCAACTTTTACCTTAAAACCTCAAATTCAGCATCAAAGTGTACTATCCTCAAATCACAATACTTAGTATCAGAGTGCCAAATATATATTAACCAAATTCAGAATCAATCACTATGCTTCATGGACATTTTTCTCACATTGTCGTCAGCAGAGAGTAAAAAATTCTAATTTGTTTTTTAGATGTGATTAGCTACAATCTTGAGATTTTAAAACTGTTTTGTTGAGTCATTCTACTATAAGGTAATTAATTTTACATTAAAAGATAATTTCTCACTTCTAGTGATCTGAATTCTCTCCCTGCTTTAAATTAAGAGTCAATTTTAGACTTTTTTCCCCCTATTTCCTGTTCATAAAATAAAGCTGGCTAATAGTTTTTTAAAAAACTATTTTTTTTTAAATAGTTTTAAGACATCATGCTGTGCATGATGTCTCTTTCAAATAGCAAAAGCTCCATTCTTCAGAGTCAGTTTTATTCAGTCTGCCTCTGCAATCCCTGTAA